ACTAGTGCATCATCGAAGAACAAGTTAATGGTGAAACAGTTTATAACACAGGGTTCCTCAGTTTCAGTGCATGTATATTTCACCAAACAGGCATATTTTGTTTTATTGTTTTATACTTATCATTTTTTTGGTTTTATTTATGTTTTGAAGTAAATTTGTGCAAATGGCTTATTTTTCCTTTTCTCAGAGGAAATCAAACTTTGTGAAGGGACCAATCATATCTCTTAATAACAGTATCTACCATCTATTGATTACTTATTATGTGCTAGTGATTTTCTAATCATTTCCCACTTATTCCTTGCAGATTCCCTCTGATAAGGGTTAGCCCAGAACAGGAAGCTGGTTTTGAGAGGATAGATACCTGCACAGCTTGGCACAGGGGATGTGGATGAGCCGGGTTTGCCTGGTTTGGACCTCCCTGCTCTTAATGACCACCCCAAAGTCTGAGCTCTGCCGTGGTACCCTGCAGTGCTTTCTCTGCTGTGGGCCTTGGACGTTTTTGATACATCCTCTGTGTATGCTCAGCGCGTGTTAACTAAGGACAGCCTTTCCTTGAGCATCTGTCTTTTCCAAGACATTTACCTTTAAGAGTCTACACAAAGCCATTTGTCATCTCGTCCAGGTTATGTATGTTGCCCAGAACAGAGCTGATTTTTTAGAGATAGTGATATGGAAATGATTAATATGGCAACACTACTTTGAAAATATATTTTATACATTTTCACTTAATATAGAACCTGAGTCCATAATGAAGCAACCCAGAGAGAGTTCAACCATGAAATGCCACTCAGCATAGTACCTGGCACACAGAAAGTGGTCAGTCAATGGATGTTAAGCGAACAGACAAAATAAAAGTATAATTTTATGAGATTAGGGTACCATTCATAGAACATAACTATGTAGTTCTCAGTCATTGAGGGAGAGAAGTAATGGTATACAATAACTTTTATGCTGGAGATATGCCAAGTACTATGGCATAGTGCTTCACATACATTATTGTATTTCATTCTTACAATCTATTTCATCATTCCTGCTTTGCAGATGAAAAAATGGGGTGCTAAGGCAGTTAATACTGACCTGCCTCTTGAGAAATCTGTATGCATGTCAAGAAGCGACAGTTAGAACTGGTCATGGGACAACATACTGGTTCCAAATAGGAAAAGGAGTATGTCAAGGCTGTATATTGTCATCCTGCTTATTTAACTTATATTCTGAGTATATCATGAGAAATGCTGGGCTGGATGAAGCACAAGCTGGAATCAAGATTGCTGGGAGAAATATCAATAACCTCAGATATGTAGATGACACCAACCTTATGGCAGAAAGTGAAGAACTAAAAAGCCTCTTGATGAAAGTGAGAGAGGAGAGTGAAAAAGTTGGCTTACAGCTCAATATTCAGAAAACTAAGATCATGGCATCTAGTCCTATCACTTCGTGGCAAATAGATGTGGAACAGTCGCTGACTTTATTTTTTGGGGCTCCAAAATCACTGCAGATGGTGATTGCAGCCATGAAATTAAAAGACACTTACTCCTTGGAAGGAAAGTGATGACCAACCTAGACAACATATTAAAAAGCAGAGACACTACTTTGCCAACAAAGGTCCTTCTAGTCAAGGCTATGATTTTTCCAGTAGTCATGTATGGATGTGAGAGTTGGACGATAAAGAAAGCTGAGTGCCAAAGAATTGATGCTTTTGCACTGTGGTGTTGGAGAAGACTCTTGAGAGTCCCGTGGAGAGCAAGGAGATCCAACCAGTCCATCCTAAAGGAGATCAGTCCTGAGTGTTTTGGAAGGACTGATGTTGAAGCTGAAACTCCAATACTTTGGCCACCTGATGTGAAGAGCTGACTCATTTGAAAAGACCCTGATGCTGGGAAAGATTGAAGGTGGGAGAAGGGGATGACAGAGGATGAAATGGTTGGATGGTATCACCAAATTAGTGGTCATGAGTTTGGGTAAACTTCGGGAGTTGGTGATGGACAGGGAGGCCGGGTGTGCTGCGGTCCATGGAGTCACAAAGAGTCGGACATGACTGAGCAACTGAACTGAACTGAAGGCAATTAAATTGTCTTCCTGAAACTTGTGCCTAGAGATTTTGGAGCCAGGGTAGAATACAGGTGTCCAATTTCTGGAACCTCTGCTTTTGCTATTACATAAGTGTGTATGGGAATGTGTGTATTTGTGTATATGTGAGAGACATACTTAGTCATGTATATATATATGTGTATATGTGTGTATATGTGTGTATATGTGTGTGTATATATATATGTATGTATGTATATAAATATATATCATTTCACGCTGGATCCAGCCCTGGCCAAACTATGACAATGACACCCTGCCCTTCATGAAACCCAGCACATTGGCTTTAACGATCTTTAATAAGCCAGCCCCCTGTCACTGAGCAGTACCATGCTCTGGTGCTGTTGAGCCTGATTGTCTTTCCCATTAAGGTGCTGCTCTCACATGGAGACATGTGTAACAGATCTGCCTGTCACAGACCTGAGTTTCCCACTCGATGTAGTCCTGGTCTTTTGTACTACTGACCATCCTCTTAAGGGAAGTAGAATTAGAGCTCTCTTTCCATAGCCTCCTGGGAACTGCATATTTCATGGCCAATTCCAGTAGGAAAGAGACTCAGTGTATGTGTAGGTTTGCTATTCTAAAAACATTGACTATCACAGATTTTAAAGTTGTCTGTTTTCATGTTATCTGCCAAGACTGTCCACTATTAGCCTGAGGGTCTATGTAATATTCACAGTTCAGGTTATCAGTGTAAACCAAAACTCTAGAAAATAGACCCTGGAGGTACCAGCATGCTTTCTCTCCCAGGGTTATATTTCACTTGTCTGAGTCTGAAATGAAAGTGGAGAGGATAAATCCAAGCAAGGGTTGTTAACCCTAAGAAACACAGCAAACTCAGGGAGAGACCAGACTAAAACATGTAGACACTTCAAGAAAGGGGTGTTAAGTACCTCTTTATGGGATTAATAGATTTATTAAATTCAAATGCATGTATGAATAAATATTTGGATACATGTGCTTAATGTGAGCAGGCAGTGATGTGGGTGTGTTAACAAAATATGCCCCAGTGCATCTCAGCAGTTGCACTTCCTTCCTGGAAACTGGATAATCAGCTGGTTGTTCCTCCAGGAAACAAAAATAATAACAAAAGCCTTCCTGATGTACCATTTACACTAAAAAGAAAAAAAAAATCATTTTTTAAAATTGTACGTTGAATTTTCTATAGGTGGTTTGCTTTCTTTTGTAACTGTTGCTCAGCCCTTAGAATCTGGTTTGTCACGGGCACTCCTTTTGTGGGAATTTCGTTTCCACTCTGTGCAACAAGGAATATAATTCAGAAGCATCTGAAGAATCCTTTTGTGATGCAGTACTTTTAGACTGGTGGCATAATTGTTACAGATTTCCAGAGAGATACAAAGAAGAAAGTGAAGCAGGTTATTGATTGGAGAGGACTGTTTGGATCAAGTCCCACTTTTTCTGACTGTGTTTACAAGTCAGGTGGCAAGTGGAATCTACAAGTGGTGTCTAATTGTACCTCTTAGTATGTCTAGATTCTGCAGTATGAATGGCTTTAATCTCCGAGGCAAATGGAAACTACCAATCTCATTCCAGACTGAATTGCAGGTCCAATTCACCATGGAGCCAGAGGGGGAAAGTACCACCCCTCTGCTTAATTTACCCGGTGGTCTAGCTTCTAGTTCTAAGATTTAAAAGGAGATCAACTTCTGTTTCAATAACAGATGAGGATGCTCTAAGAGAGAAGCATTGCGGAGGTATGGCGATAATGCAGAGAGGTGCTTGTGCCTGCCTTTCTCTATTGTGTTTTTAAAGGCCTCACATCTCAGCCTGGGCTTTGTGTAGGGACGCCAGCCCTGAGGTGCATCTGTTTCCTCCAATGGCAATACAGACCAGGGTCACATTAGGCAAGCAGTCTGTTCCTAATGCATTTAAAGTCTCAGAAAGCAAGCGGTGATTTTATAACTGCAGCCTGGATTTATTCTCCTCCAGTTCCAGCCTCAAGATGAGGTTGAAAGAAATGAAATTTTAGTAGAATGAGGTTAGGATGAAATTCCTAGTTAGTTAAAAATTAAATTAGCTAGAGATTGTGTTTATTGTGAAAGTCACGTGAGATCCGCTGGCTTTATATTTTTGAGGTATTTCACTTGCTGTTCAGGTACAAGCCGTCAATCAAGGCTAATCAAACTGGCGCAGTTAACATGATACATCATAAAATTTCACAATAATGTCAACCTGTAATTCTGTCAATCTGGTTAAGGGAAATGGGCTAAAAACAATATTGTCATCTTGTAATAACACTCGGAAGGTATCAGAGAATAATGTTGCTATCATCTCCCTAACTCTGTGCCTGGCTTCTACCAGAGGCAGCCCTTGCTGCTAACAAATGGCCAGGTGGTCTAAGCTTATCACTGCTGTTGCTGCTTGTGAGAGTTGGAGTAGGGCCACGTAAACGGAGCATGCTGCCCTGCAGCATTTCTCCAGGCTGACCTCTTTGATGCATTATGAAGAAAAGTAACTGCCAGTATTTCCCAGGACTTGTCTCATGTGGTATAATGTGCACAGGCCTTGAGTATTCTTATTTATTCAGCCAGCTTACTTATTATACTTATCTTTCCTTTTTTATGAACCTACGTTCGGTGGTATTTCAAAAGCATCCACTTGAAAAAGCATGCACTTAACTATAAAGCACAGGCCACTCATTACACAGAATGATAAAACAACTCCTTCTCTGAATGTTATGTTTGGCTGTGCAGCCCCAGGACATTGGGGTTCCACATGAAATTAGGGAGATAGATTCTCCACTCAGGGAGCCCCTGTTTAACCTTGACGGTCCCTGGGAATCATGCCTACATAGTGAACTCCATTCAGTTGGCAGCTCTTTCCTGTAGCCAAGATGGCTGGATTATAACTCTTAGATGTTTCTTTCTCTCATGAAAGGCCAAATAAACATAAAACCTTGTACAAATTATTATTTTAAAGCTGAAGAGGTCTCCTGCAGGTATATCTCACCCAGAAGCATAAACAAGTGCAAGAGTAGAAGGAGAGCTTCATGGCTTAATTGGAGGAAGGTCCAGACACAGCTTCCTCTTCCCCTGCCCTTCGTGAGCACATTTTATAAATGGCTGATATACAGTCATTTCTTGTATTCCATTCTAGGACTCTCTCTGCATTTTCTGGAATACACTTTGCCCTGATGTGAGACAAACTCTTTTGAAGGAACAAAGACTCACGAGGTTGAGAAATTTTTAGGTTGCCATCATGAATGCAAATGCATTTAAAGTTGCATGAGGGACGGAGGAAGATGAAAAAGTAGTCTTATCAGTACCACCACTGCCCTGCTTACACCGCCGTTAAGAATACCAGAATCGTACCACGTGCGTCAGTAGCAGCTCTGGTGAGCATCAGAGATTCTAGTAGTTGTCTCGTCAGGATTGAGCTTCTTTTGTAGGCTGTCCTAGCACTGGGCTGCATCTGTGTTATTGTTCTTGCCCAATTCTCTTCATTGCTCCACATCCCCGACTCATAGTCTAGTGGTTCAACAATCTTAAGATGTAGAAAAGAAATGTGGAATCCAGTGGATTTGGGAAATAATTTAAAAAATCAATTTAAAAGCATGGACAAGTTACTATAAAACTTAATTTAAGGCAGCAAAAGATGAAGGTGGGCATGGTAGAGATGATCCCTTCCTCCTCCTCTTGCTTCTCTCCTTTCTTCTTAATAAACATTTATTGAGCATCTATTTAAGGTTAAAATTCTTGACAGACAGTGAAGATATTAAAATCTTCTAAAAACCTTTTGATAAAACATTATGATTCAAGTGATTTGATAAGTATAATGATAGAAAAATGAGAGAAAACACTTAGGATGGCATTTAGTCTTTCCTTCATCAGGTTTGATAAGGAGTTTTCAATATAATACAAAGTTTAATAAAACAATGAGTAATACATACAAAGGGCTTACCAGGTGGCACTTGTGGTTAAAAACCCACATGACGATGCAGGAGACAAAAAAGCATGGGTTCGATTGCTGGGCCAAGAAGATCCCCTGGAGAAGGGCATGGCAACCCACTCTGGTGGTGTTGACTGGAGAATCCCCATGGACAGAGAAGCCTGGTGGGCTACAGTCCATCGAGTCACAAAGAGGTGGACATGACTGAAGCAACTTAGCACAGCACCGCACAATACATACATAAAGATTTCTCTTGAGTGGTAAACAAGTCACCTTGAAAAGAGTAGAAGAAAGTATCTTGTAATTATCAAATGATATAATTAATTGAAAAGAGAGATGCAAAATTCCAAAACTTAAAATGCTATATTCTGCTTATGGCCAAACTCTGAGGTAAAACTAATCCCGATAGCTATGTGTTCAGAATTCAGACGTTAGAGAATTAAATTAGTGTTAATATATGAAAATAAGCAGTTTGGTCATTCGAGAGTTCAAAGTAAAGGAAAGGGTCATCTTTGATCACTAAATGATGGGTCATTAATCCAGGAAGGCAATATTTACTGGGAAATTGTAGGCAGCATGCTCTGCAGGTGCTTAATAAGGCAAGGTGAGTTCAGGGATGTTTACATGTGCCCATAAAACAAAATATAAGATTATGGTGCCAGGAGTATGATGCAGGCATACAGCTGAAGTTTAGAGAAGGGAGAACTTACTTCTCTCCTGGGAAACGGCCTGGCTCCATGGTAAAGGTTTCAGTGGTTTCTTGTTGACTTAAGCCATGGGAGTCTAAAATCATTCCCATGAAATCATGGTCTCACCCCCACCTACTTCTCTGTCTTCCTTTCTTTCTTTTCCTCACCCACATTGGCCTTCAGTGTCTTGAACTCTCCATGTTCTTTCTCTCTGCAGTGTTCAGATGTATTTCCTGCTGTGTCCCAGTGCCCATTCTTTCATCTCTTTGACTTTGATTCTCACTTCACAGAAAATCTCAGCTAAAGTGTAACTTCCTCGGGGAAGCCTTTTTGATGCCTTACTCTAGGTCTGGGTTCCTTTGTTATAAACTCTCAAGGGCTCAAACATTGTCCTCCAAAGCCCTTGCAATTATACATCAATTGTCATGGTAGATTATTCAGTATCTGTCTCCTCCGCTGACTGTAAGCTCCATGAAAGAAGGAATAGTGTCTATTTTTGCCTGATTTTTTATTCCTAGTTTCTTATGATGGACATTTCTGAGACAGTAAAGACATCTGCATTTGTTGACTAAAGGAGTGTCTATGCTGGCCCTTAAAAGATGGTCAGGAATTAACACCTTCCAAGACTGGAAAGTGAGGGAAGAGCATCAGCAGGGATGAGTGATGAGCATGTCCTTGGAATGTCAAGGGTCTGATGAGGTCTGCCTTGGTCAGAGCCGCCTGGTAGGAAGGTGGGGCTGGATCACCATAGAGCCTTGATTGTGATGCTGGGGCATTTGGAATGTTTGAGTGGAGTCTGGGTTGTGATTGTTAAGAGAATGACTTCTCAGGACTCTAAGAAGGAAAGATAATTTCACAGGAGAAATAGACCAGTTTTATTTATTCCAAAGTAAGATTTATGAAAGGATTTCAATAAAATTTTTGTGGGAATCACAAAAAGTGCAGTTATACAAAAGTAGTAATTTTAATGAGAACAGCTTTAAAACACTTAAGTGTTTATTATGTGTAAAACAATTCTGACCACTGATAAGAAATGAATAAAGTGTGGTTCTTGGCCCTTTCTGATGAAGAGATGGGAGGAGGGAGGATGAAGTGGGTAACTACACAGTTCAGCAAGGAACAATAGAATTTCCCCAAATAGGACTGTGATGAAGCCATACTGTGATGACCAGAACAGAATAAACACCTCCTAGCTCCTGTAAGGTAGTGGCTTAAAAGGAAGCCTCAAAGTTGTTATTTTCAGTTGTTATTCTCTACCACTCCAGGGAGACATTAACAAGACTTCTTTTAGAAGCCCTTTCTAGATACTAAAAGCCTGTGCGTAGCACATGGCTGACTGTTATTCCTCTCCAGTTCTGTCCTGGCCTCCCACAGCCTTACCGGCAGCCCTCTGAAGGCTCCAAAGATAAGGCACATCCTACTCTTCAAATAAAGGACTCAATAGCAAATATTTTAAATACAAAGAAAGGCTGCTTATTGCCATCAACTCCACAGGATAACTTTAGGCTCTGTTGCCTAGTTAAAGCATATGGATTGGTTCTAAGTAAACATCATGACCTATAAATAATTGAGATGATTATTCTCCAGAATTTTAGTTAGCATCCAAATGAGACATATTTCATTTTAATATGGGAGTATTTATGGAGCCCATAAAGAGTGATATTGTTTCAAACCTTTGTCCTATAGAGAGTAAAGTCTTTATTTACTAAAAGTTCAAGATGCCCCGTTGGTGAAGGATAATATTACTCACTTAGAAAAAAGTAGTCAACCAGAATGTAATGGAATGGAATCAGAAATCCTGTCTGTTTTCACAAGCTAAGGCTTTAATATAATGTTGTTGTGCTCAGTCTTGTCCAACTCTTTGCAACCCCATGAACTATAGTCTGCCAGGCTCCCCTGTCCATGGGATTCTCCAGGGCAGAATACTGGAGTGGGTTGCCATTTCTTTCTCCCCAGGATCTTCCCAACTCAAGGAGCAAACTCACATCTCTAATGTCCCTGTATGAATGAAAGAATGTTAACTCATTTGATTGTCTATGCTACAGTACTTGCCAAATATTAAAATCTTAAAGCAATGCAAAGCATAATATACATTCTACTTTTTGAAAGACGAATACGCCTAGCTTCTTCCAAATGTTGCCATGAAATAATAACAGTAAAAATGCAGCCTTTGATTTAAAAATGAGGAATTAGTCTTGATTTTCTGAGGCAGTTCTACTGGCAGAATGAGTTGAACCATCATTCTCCCAGGTAGAGAATATTCACCAAAACTCAACTTTAATTCCTCTAAGAGTTATTTTATCTCCATTGAAGTTGTTGCTAATTCATCAATGTCTCCTTTTCTAGATACATATTTATGTAGACATTCAGTGTATATATGTATGTGTACACATGTGCCCCTGTGCACACATATGTACACATATGTGCCTACCTTGATACTGAAAACTTCATGTAAGAGGTTGTAATTTTCTTTCATAAATGCAGTTTCTTCCATGCCTACCTATCTGTCTTTGCAACATTTTTTTTTCCTGATGTTAATTCAAGGTATTGATTTAAATCTATTAAGCCTAGTCGAGTCCTGTGTGTCTTAGATAATGTAGTCCTAACAGATGAGGGCACCTGGGGTGCAGCTGTGAACCACCACTATATCGCAATTATGTTTGGCTGTGGGTGTAACTATCTATATCATAGAGATCTGCATCTAGTTTTGCGTAGTCTGCATAAAAATTTGGTATCCTATGATAGCTACAGAATTCTGAGTAGAAATTCCCTCAACTCCATTCTTTTTGATTCATATATAAACCATCATGAAGCTAAACTGCCTATAAATTGAGAACATAAGCTTAAAATGCAGTCTGCCTGGATCTAAGCCCAGTGCTGCCTTTTACTAGGAGTGTGATCCGAGAAAGTTATCTGACTCTCTTTCCTCAGTTTCCTCACCTACCTCTGAGTTGTTTCAAGCATAAATACATTGACACACACAAAGCACTTAGATTATGCCATATATATCATATGCTGCCAATAAATGTCCTTCATTATAATTATCTGGAAATGTTTATATATGCTGTTATTTGTGATCTAACCAAAAATAAAATTATAAAAGTGTCTTGTACCCATAATGAATACAGGAGGATTTTAATCTCTGTCTATCTTCCCTTTACTTTCATTTATCATTATTTTTAACTTGGAGATGCTGAGTATGTATTTCACTAAAAATACTGCCCAGTAGCCAAATGGTATCCATGATCTTCAGTAATTTGACTCATGGCTACTTAAGAGGCAAATAACAAAATAAACACACTAAAAAAAAAAACAGCAACACTATATTAAGTGTTTTGGATTCTCCTCAGTCCTGCTGTCAGGAACCCTGCCGCTTGCATAAAGGAAGAATCCATCTCGCATCTTTCCATTAGGAAGGAGTGGGTGCACTGACATTTCCAACTCTTTCAGGGGAGCCTGTCTGAGTTCGCCAGTTCGCTGGTGTCGGAGCCTCGCGCTGCCGCCGCAGCTCGAGGCACATTATTTATCATCACAGCCAGCGTCACTTCACCCGTTCCAAGTTTTCAGGCTGCTGAAGATGTGTCTCTTCCTGCCCTCCTTTCAGATTGGCTTTGTGGAGCTGGATGGACCGGAGGTTTGATCGCACACTGGGCGGTGCGTGGAGAAATTGGTTATTAATATTTTTGAGGCACTTCCTGCAGTGAAAGGTCTGCTGTGCTCTCCACTGAACGGCCCAGATGTTCAGTTTTTCTCAATTAGCTCCTTCACATTGTGCCAGGATAAAGATGAAGTTTCAGGGAAGGCTTCACAGACTGCTCTTCAGAGACTGTTTTGCCTGTCTAAGATGAATCAACTTCTACCATTTTGAGAAATTACTAGAACTTCGCTGACCAGTATACTTGATAAATCAATATATTAAGCCCAAAGAATATGTTTTCTTCTACCTTTAAACCCTTTTCCTCTTATCAAGGCCTGTCCCACCTTTGTTTTTCCTTTCCGTTTGGCCTCTGAGGATATACCATATGCACAGAGGTAGTAGAATTTGTATGTCAGAGAATTTTAGGGAGATATTGTGTAGGTAGGAAAGTAGTTTAATAGTTGTCTAACCTATGAAGTCCTTTTCCATATAAATGAATAATGTTAATAAATATTTTTTAATTTGACGGTATTTATTTAACTAAGCATAGTACCTGGAGGGCTTCTCTGGTGCCTCAGCAGTAGAGAGTCCACCTGCCAATGAAGAAGACAAGGGTTTGATCCCTGTGTCAGGAAGATCCCCTGGAGCAGATGATGGCAACCCACTCCAGTGTTTTTGCCTGAGAAATCCCATGGACAGAGGAGCCTAGCAGCCTACAGTCCAAGG